CGAGATGCTTAGAACATTCCAGATAAATCAGATTTAGGTCCAATTGCATAATACAAAGTATCCAGCACCTGAAAGCTTGCTATAAGGTCCTGATGGAAGTCTCCCAGTAAAAGTTTATCCATTAATGGGGTTTGATGAAATGGTTGTTGAACATGGGGGCGATGGCTAGTTCTGGCTACCTGGAGCACATTTGTCTTATTGGCCAAACTGGCTGATATGTATGGTCCTTTGCCTATGGGAGGCAGATTGCTGTATGAGATCCTGTTCCATTGGTAAAACATCACAGTTGCATTGCATTGTACCTTGAAGCAAAGCTCACCTGTTGTTAGATTGAGGACAGAATAGTTTACCTTTACATAGGGCAAGACAAGTGCTGAGTCTCGTGAGATAATATCTGTGATTATTTGGTTGTTGAGCCAAGGTTGCAAAAATTGAGTATGGTCAGGTAAAGGCTGTGAGAAACTTGAGGGAGCAGGACACAGAGTAGATTGCATGACATATATCCTTTGAAAAGGAAGTCTCTTACAGAGTCAGTAGTGTAGCCTTGTGCAGTATTTCTCCGTTTTCTATTCTGGACCCATTGACATTCTCGTTATTACATTGCCTCTGACTGTGCCTTTACTGAAGTCAAATTCCTTGTGCAGGTCTTAAAATCCACAGACGTACAGTTAGTTATGGTTCCTCTGATGTTCAGGTGGGTATGGCTGAGACGGCTCGTCTGATTGAGGAGCAGTGCTCTACTGAGCAAAGGTGTGCACTGAAGAGTTATACTGCTGTGCAGAGCAGAGCAATCCTCAAACAAGCAATACAGGTGGCCATTAGGCATGGACACAAATGTCACATTCTTAGTGAGGCAGAGGCACCGATCAGTCCTTACATTGTAATGACACCACTTTTGTGGGTTATTGGGAATGCTATTGACAGGTACACATCTGGATTTGTGTGCTGTTTGCTTGCTTTTCCTGGCTTCTGAGTAGACACCCAAAAGCCAATGACATGGTACAGGAGACTTCCTAACACCGCTCGATGGTGCCTGCAATGGGGACACGGTGGTCAGCTTCCATGGTGATACTGTAGATAACATCCTCCTGTGATAAGTCTTCATGGCAGGAAACAGCTGTGTCAAGCTGCTACACCGAGGGGTGCCTCCTGAATAGCATTGCAAGCCTGGTATTTCCATGCCAGAGCTACCAACCCAAGAAACATTCATCTGGAAGAGCAGTAGGAATAACAGCCTAGTTATAGCGAGGCTCAGTAATCACAGGCAGTGGAGTGGCGAGCCCACATGGGGTGATGTTAGAATCAATGGCAGGAGTTCCTTGGGACATCTTGGAAGACAGGAATGTCACATCAGCCTGGAGTTTATTGATCTCTGTGTTAACTGCCTTGAATGCTGCACTGGTTGACTGTAGCTAATGATTCTATAGCAGCTCTAACAACAGAGATGTCTCATCTCAACTCATCTCTGATCTAAGATCAATGAATATGTCTTCTGTGTCAGAATTCCTCTTTGCAGCTCACTCTCTAGATGAGCTCCGTGGTTGCAAGTTCATCTTATCCTTTCGTCTGAGAGAGCTAAGCTTACTTCCTGAGCTACTATCTCAGGTACTTTGGAAGTAACTCCTCCAGTAGTGCTGGAGTCTTCATTGCAATCAGCTGCTCCAAGTTGTATACTGGACATGGCTCTGTTGACCTTAAAACCATGTATTAAGAGCCAGTAGAGTAGCTCCACTCTGCAACTCTTCTTATGTTTTTGGAATCTGTCTTTGTTTCGAAAGCATAGTTTTTAGTGGTGGAAAAACTGGATACCACATGAATGTCCATGAGTAAGCAATAAGGGATAAAAGATTAATTTCTGGTTTTTCTAGACAATGGAATATTAGATAGCTGATTGGAAATAAATTAGATCTAAATGGTTTGTCTTAAAGGATATTGATTATAAGAACAAGTTTCAAATCAGTTTGTTTAGAACGAGCCCATATTCAAAAAAAATACCATATGCTTGTATATTTGAAAGAGTTTGAATATGTTAACGTTGGTTACTTCTAAGTTATGGGGAAGAAGAATGGGGACCTCTTTTAGAGGATTCCGTACTTCTAAGGAATGGATTATTAGCTTTTACTTTATATATCTTTGGATTTCCTCACCTGTCACAAAATTAGCTGTTATTAAAATTAATGAAAGAATTTAATTTTGGTAGGGGAAAGGACTACTAAATTTTTCTTAACCTATCCTACACCATCTAATACAGTAAACATTCTATAAATATTTATGGAAGGAGATATGGGGGAGGAGGAACAGGTTAAACTATGTTTCACAGTGCTAAAAAGATAACCCTTAAAGCATTAATTGTATGATGAAGCATTGCAGAACCTCTAAATGAACAGTAGGAGGGAGGAAGAAAGAGATACTTGATTAGGCTGGCAAAATAAAATGGGAAGAAGTGAAAAAAGCAAAGTATTATAAAATAAATAATAGGCACCAATGGAAAAGATAAGATCAATATTGCAGTTACTCCAATAAATGTAAATGGGTTGAATTTACCTATCAAATGACAAAATCTTTCATACTGGGTGTAAACACTCAGGTAGGTGTTATTCACCTAACTAGATGTTGTGTACCTTTCAAAACACATAAAACAAAATGAACCTTTAATAAAATGTGATCTCGGGTGGCCTTGGCCTGCAGTGGCTTGCAGCAGGATTTTGGTGTCCAGCCAGAGATTGAGGTTGGGCAGCGGCAGTGAGAGCACTGAATCCTAACCACTAGACCACAAGGGACCAGTGGCCCGGGACAAGGCCCTGGCCCATCAGCTGTGTAGAAATGAATTTCCACATGGAGATGGAAAGTAGTGAAGCAAGTAAACTGTTTATTAGGAGGAAAAAGACTACAGTACGTGCAGATCACATGGGCGGTCTCAGAGAGAGAGTCTTGCCCTCCTGGCAGTTTGAATCACTTTTATGGGGCATTTCCTCCGGGTTTCCTTTGACCAATCATCTCGCTTTGCCTGGTTCTGAGTCCGTATTTGGTACCTCTCACCATCCTCCCCTGTGTGCATGTGCGTCTCTTAGCCAAGATGGATTCTAGTGAAGAGGCCTATGGGTAGTTGGCATCACTTACTATGCGGTGGCGTCCCCTCCCTTTTTGAACTCCAAGGAGCCTTTCTGTGCATGTGTAGTCGGTGAAGTCTCCTTGACTTCAAGAATGAGGAATACGTGGTCTTTTATCTCTTTTCTGCCCCATCATCCTGCTTTTATGGAGTTTCTGCTATTATGGAATTTCTGTCCACAGGGAGAAACTGTTCAGCCTGGGGCTCATCTATCTCCTGTCTGGGGCTCATCTATCTCCAGCCACAGACTTAGTGACTTAATCAATCCCAACTTATTATCTTACAGTTCTGTAGGTGAGATGTCTCACTGAGGTAAAGTCAAGGTGTCAGCAGGGCAGCGAGTGCATTCTTTTCGTAAACCTAGGGGAGAATCCCCAGCACTGCTCCTTCAGGTGTTGGAGGAATTCACTTCTGAGGTCATTGGACTGAGATCTCTGTTTCTTTGGTGCTGCCAGCTGGGAGCCATCCTTAGCTCCTAGATGTCTCTCAGGGGTCCTCGTGGAGACCCCACATTTCAGAAGCAGCAATAAAATGTGGAATTCTTCTCGTGCTTTTAATCTCTCAGGTGATTAGATTAGGTCCACCCTATATAATCCAGGATAAGTGATTTCCTATCTACCTCCCAAGAAAGTAGCTTTTGTAAAAATGCCTGCAAAGCAGCACTGACTTGCAAAAGCAGCTCAGAGGACTAATTCTCCTTACATAAGTGGTTAGTTCATTCGATGAAAAATTATTTCAAGGCAATTGTCATGCTTTATTAACAACAATAAATATGTCTAAAATGTATCCTACTTATAAATCCCTGGAAATAAAACAGTCACCATTGTTTAATCCTTAGCACCAAGAACACTGTCCTCAGAATAGACATCTCAGACGTCATTCTGAACCTTTAGACTAACTTAAAGGTCAGCTATGAGTGCCCTCTGCATTCTGTCTCCACCTTTCTGACTTTTCCTAGCCAAAACACGGGAGTGAAAAACGTTTTCTAAGATAATGCATTGACAGGCATCCTGTGACGTCCCGGAGAAGGCGGTCCGCCGGCCGGACATGGGTCAGGAAGAAGTGGCCAAGAAGGGTCCAGGGAGGCACAGCCCGAAGGGGAGGAAACGACCCAGTTAACATGGGCCAGGCACACAGTCCCAGAGTTCTGTGTAGCCGGCGCGAGGCTGCGTCGTTTTCACCCGCTTTCAGCCAAGAACACCAAATAGCCACAGACTGGTACCCCGGAGGGAGCTGCGGCTCCCCCTGCCCACCTTCCGTGCTAGGGTGCGCATGCGCATCCTGCAGGCCATTGGGTGAGGCGGGGGGTGGGGCTCGGGGTGGAGAGAAGAGGGGAGCGTCGGTTGGACGAGAGGGGAGCCACGCCCACCACGCAACGTCTCTGCGCAGCCGCGGGGCGCCAGCTTCTGGTATTTTCGACACGTCTGCCGCGCCCCCGTTTAGTTCACTTTTGGATGTTGGACGTCGGAGGATGAAGTTGTGAGTCCGCCGTTCAGGAGAAGCAGTGAAAAGCCTCTCTCCGTCTTTAACTTCAGAGGGAAGGCGTCCGTTGGGCCTTTCTCTCCTTGAGTGAGGCGTCGACGGCCCGTGGTGGGTTTTCTGGTGACGGGGTGGCCCTGCGGTCGGTTACCTCAAGGCGAGCGTAGCCGGGCCCTGTGGGCCCCGCGGAGCGTGGACGGGGACGGTGGCGGGGCGGGAAGGCCGGCAGCAGACGGCGCCACAGCCCGGAGTTCCGTAGGCCGGGAGGCCCGTTTCTTTTTCGGCCCGAGGCTGCCCGCGCGGCTCACTTCGGGACTTCACTTGTATTTTGTTTCCTCTCGTTTGTTTTTAGGAACTGAGTTTTCTGGCAGGGGTCGTCAAAGAAAAGGAAGCTCGGAAGCTGCCGTCCGAGATGTCCAGCTACGTGAACGACCTGTGGCCGGGCTCGCCGCACAAGGCCTCCCCCTCGTCGTCGCGGTCGGGCCCGTCCAGCCGGCTGTCCTCGGCGTCCGGGAGCCGCTCTCCCCAGAGCTCTCCTTCCCGATCCATCGTCTCGACTCGGTCGTGGTCGCGGAGCCGCAGCCGCAGCCCGCCCCGGCGGAGGAGCAGGTCGAGGTCTCGCTTCCGAAGGCGCCACCGGAGGAGGTACCGGCGCTACTCGCGCTCGTACTCGCGGAGCCGCTCGCGCCCGCGCAGCCGCCGGTACCGGGAGAGGCACCACGGCTCCTCCAGGAGGTCCTACCGGTCCCTCAGCCGCCCCCGCTCCCGAGGCCGCTCGCATTACCAGAGGGCCTACGCCTTCGCGCGGGACCGCCCTTACTACGGATTCGGCCGCACCGTCTACCCGGAGGAGCGCAGAGGCTGGAGGGGGCGATCCCGGACCAGGTCGCGCAGCCCAAGCCCATTTCGTCTGAGTGAGAAGGGTGAGTCGTCGGTTGTCGAGAGAGGCGTTAGGGGAAAGAGGAAGGACTCCAGTAGGTTAATAGTTAAAACTACACTGTAGTGGGTGCCCAGTTTTAAAATGGATGGCATGCTTGCCCCTTGGGATTAACGCTGTGCACGTTAAATGGCTTGGTGGAGGGCGGTTCTGGGTGGAGCCTTGAAATTGTCAGGGAGTTAGTTATTTACCCACTGTGTGCTTTTACTTGTTGATCATTTAGGAATGCTTGTTTTTCTCAGCAAAATAGAGTTCTTTTTCCATCAATAGAAATATATCTTACATGTGGAAGTACCGTGTAAACGTCTAGGTACTACTAGTTTAAAAGCACAAACATAGGGCTTCCCTGGTGGCGCAGTGGTTGGGAGTCCGCCTGCCGATGCAGGGGACGCAGGTTCGTGTCCTGGTCCGGGAGGATCCCATATGCTGCGGAGCGGCTGGGCCCGTGGGCTATGGCCGCTGGGCCTGTGTGTTCGGAGTCTGTGTCCGCCACGGGAGAGGCCACAACAGTGAGAGGCCCGCTTACAGCAAAAAAAAAAAAAAAAGCACAAACATAGTTTGTGATTTTTGAGTTTTCTGGAGAAATACTACAGGATAAATGAACATTTTGTGTTTCTTTTGTAGATCGAATGGAGCTGTTAGAAATAGCAAAAGCCAATGCTGCAAAAGCATTAGGAACAGCCAACTTTGACTTGCCAGCTAGTCTCAGAACTGTTTCTGTATCTAAAGAAACCAACCGTGGAACAGCTGTACTGAATAATGGTGCAAAGTCTGAGGTAAGTATTTTAGATTTATCCAAACAAAATCTTCAGAAAACTACTACCAGAAAGATCTGATTAGCCATTTTTACTTGATTTGCCTTAGACTGCTTCCTGGAAAGGCTAGCTAAATATAATTTAAAATAACAGATCTGACAATACTAGAGAGTCTCCCCCCGTGAAAATGGGAGACTAATGAACTTTATTTTCAGTTGACACAGTACTAATTACTTTCATAATTGTAGCTGGTACTTTGGTGATTTCTATGTAGTTACCAAGTTTTTCTAGCTAGTTTTTTACAGAGTATTTATCTGTAGCGCTCATTTGCAGCATTATGTTCCCACAAATTCTGTACTCAACATACAGTATAGTTTATCTGCTTTATTTCTGTCTTATAGAAATCATGAATGTGGTCTCCAGACATTGATGAAGAAAATCTGTTGGTAATTGATACATGTGCAAAAGCATCAGAGGTTTAACTAATTTGAAGTTTATGTTGACACACTGAAAACTTAGTTTTTTGTTGGTAGATCCCTATGCATGCTAGAATTTGGGACAGGTACTAAGCTAAACAAAAGTGTACTTTGTAATGGTGGGGCATCTGATATAGATGTCCCTTTCATAATATATGCAATATATTCCAGATGTTTTGAGAGATTACAGAAGAAGAGGCCTGCTTCACTTGCAGATAAGTTTATTACAGTTCTCCAGAAATGTCCAGCATAAAATTCATAGCTTAAAGGTTTAAGGTAGTTAGGAATTGATAACACAGGAAAGAAGGGTTATCTCCTGTCATTCAGACCCACATGTGGGTTTGCCTAAGTATTAGTGGTGGACAAAAAAGATCTTAGTTCAGTCGCTTTTTCAGATGGTTAGGTGCCCAACTGGATGGGTAAATGCCTTAGTTCTTTGAAACTAGGTGTTTTCTGGTATGAGTTGACTTTCAGAGTTACTTGAATTTGCATCAGGGGGATACAGTAATTCTTTATGGGGAAGAGTGTCTTAAGCCTATCATTGAATCAATTTTGTTATGGGGAAAACTCAACAGAGTACTATGTTGTTTATTTTAGGATGTTAACTATTTGGTTACATCCAACTTGATCTGTGTCTCTACAAGTGAATTTGTAATACGGTTGGGCTGCTTTTTATACCTACAAGGGTATGGTTTTTTAAAATTTACTTTCTCTTACCTGTCTAGCTGTCGGATAAGTTAATGGAAGATGAAACAGAAAATCCCAACGAGAAGTCTTCCCAGCAAAAAAGCATAGCTTTTAGCTCTAATGTAAGTATATCTAAGCATTGACCACTCAAAAACTGGCCTTAAACATATTTCTGTTATGTGGGTCTTTATGTTTATTGGCTCATTGTTTTTATGCTGATAATTCGAGGCCTACTAAGCCGCTAAATAAATAGAATTAAAAAAAATTTTTTTTGTATGGTTCTTACAAGTGACCAATATAATGGGCTCCTACTCTGATATCTACATTCTCAGTCTCAATATTTTGTCCTCCTTTTAATTATTCCCATTTTCCTTTTTAACTGTTAAAATATTCAAAAAACAAGTCTCAGAATATCCTGTAGTCAGAATATTTTAAAATGAGCTAAGGGCTTAATAAACAAAATTTCAAAACTATTTTTAATACTTCACTACTGCAGTAGTGACATATGCCTTGCACATGTCTGATTTGATTGAATCAAGTTGCAAGTGCGGTCCGTGGCTTTGCATTTATTAGGTTGGTGTCTTTTTAAAGTTATAGTCTTAAATGGAATTATTTAATGTATTTTGTAAAAAGCGAGGTTTTTTTTTGTTTTTGTTTTTGTTTTTTGCGGTAGGCGGGCCTCTCACCGCTGCGGCCTCTCCCGCCGCGGAGCACAGGCTCTGGACGCGCAGGCCCAGCCGCTCCGCGGCACGCGGGATCCTCCTGGACCGGGGCACAAACCCGCGTCCCCCGCATCGGCAGGCGGACTCCCAACCACTGCGCCACCAGGGAAGCCCCCAAAAGCGAGTATTTTAAATATGTATAATATTTGTTTGGGAAGCTGACTTAAGAACTTGTTCTCTTACAGAATTCTGTAGCAAAGCCATTGCTTCAGAAATCAGCTAAAGCTACTGCTGAAGAGACCTCTTCAGGATCCCCAAAAATAGATAAGAAGAAAAGTCCATATGGACTGTGGATACCTGTCGAAAAGAACATCAATACCTAAGGTTGCCTGAAATGCATTTTTTTTTTTGAGAGTTTGTTTCCAGCATTATTCCATTCCTTTGAACCATTTAGTGATAATTGTCGCAATTACAGATGACAACACAGAAAGTTGTAAATACTTAATATTTAAATATTAACATTTTAGATTTCTCTTGCAGATAGGAGATAGCACAAATGGACCAGAGGTTACGCACAGGTGGCATTCTTGTATATATACTTGTAAATGTTTTATATAATATGGATTGGTTACGTAGAAGTGAAATTTTTAAGACAAACAGTAATTGAACTGTTTGTGTTGTATATATTTTATTAATAAATTTGGTTTTATTTTAGTTTCACTTTATTGTGTATACTTTACATAATGGGTTTTTATTTAATGAAGAAGAATGAGGTGGTATCTCTTGTTTAAAGCCTTGCTAATACCAGGTCCAAATCCATGGACTGACAGCATAGGGCTCAGTGATCTTACCTGAGAGTTTGTGAGAAATGCTGAATCTGAAATCTACCCCAGAACTGAATTAGAAGCTGGTTTGTAAAGTAATCCCGGTTGATGTAGATACTCATTAAAATTTGGGAAGTTTGGCCTAAGACTTAAAAGAATACTGGCATAGTGTTATCCTGAAGAATTGAGCTTCACAGCAGGAAACTCAGCCAGAGAGGGGTTGAAACAGAATGCCTCACTGGGTTATAAAATCAGAGGTTTCGTTGCATTTTTTTCTTATTATGTTTTAAAAAGTATTTATTGATTTGAAATTCTTCATTGCTTCTTACTGTAGCTGGGAAAGACCTTAACTAAGCACATAAAAATTTAGAGATGAATGTTAACACTTAACTGAAAGGTCTGGGCAGTTGGTTTAAACGTTAGCTGATTATGGATTTTTGTGGTTTTGCCTGTTAATACATTCTAGTGGATACCAAAACTAAGAAGATTTAAGCCAGTTTTAGATGGTCTCTCGAAGTGTTAATTTGACTTAATAGATCAAATGTTTGGATTAAATGTAAAATGCCAGTTTAATGAATTTATTTTGCCTATGTGCTAGGCTTTAGCAACAAAACATGTCTTGCTAGAACCTAAGCAAAAAATAAAAATCCTAGTAGATCAAAAACATGCATGAGGTTTTATTTTAGTGATGGGGATGGGTACTATTGATTGCTTGAATGTTTTCCTTTTCTACTCCTTGGAATCTTGCCCTAATTTTGAACAGACTCTTTAGTTTGGGAAATAATGAAACAGACTTCCAATAGGCAGGGATAACAAGTTAGAGAATAGGATGAGGAGAATATTAGAGGCAAGACAAAAAACCTGGGAAAAGACAAACACCCAGAAATTAGATAATAGATGAGCAGGCTTAAGTCAGGTCCTAAATTTTTAAGTAGAAGTTGACTTTAAAAAGATGGTGAAGAATCCTCAAGTGCAATGTAATACTGTATTAACTAAAGCTGTGCTGTCCAGTATTTTACCTGCATTTCCCATTAAGACAGCCACCAGCCACTGTGGCTGTTGACCACTTGATAAGTTGGCTAGTATGACTGAGGAACTGAATTTTAAGTAACCACTTACTGGAAAGTGCAGATAATAGAATACTTCTATGGTAGAACATTGTATTGGATAAGAGCTGCTCTTAAATTTGATCCTATGAAAAATATAAATGTACAGATTTAGACTTGGATATATACATTCCTGGACATATTATTTCTATTACTATAGTAAAGCTATAGAACTCAAGGATTTCCTTGTAAGGGAGACTTTTGCAATGAATTGATGACATAATGCTAAGATCATTTTCACCTTCACTTAGCTGGTAACAGAAAAGCACCTGCTTTGATTATGACCTTATGTAAGAGGTTTGGCTAGTTGCTATGGATATGTGCCACTTCTGAGATTTCACTTCTACAGTGGTCTTTTCCTTCAGCCTTGAGACTTGCCTATTTTCTCTTTATTCATTTTCTTTTTACTACCCAGTATCCTGAAAAGAATGTACACTTTCTCCATTTTTTTTTCATAATCAACCCATGAAGTCCTGTCAGTCCTTGTCTAACCTGACCTTGTCATTTGTGTGTGGCCAGGACAAATGTACTTAGTCTCTCCTAGGCTTTGTAACACAGAAGATAACTCGTTGTGCATATTCCCAGACTGCTTGTCGTTACATAAGTGGGATGCAGTTGCCCACGTGTGATACTACGTCATTACATAACCCGTGGACAATATAGCAAACAGGCGCTGACAGTGAGAAATTGTACCAAGAGACTAGATTTAGTGCTGTCCAATAGAAAGGAGAGCTTCAATGAAAAGTAAAAAGGTGAATTTGTTTTTTACCCCAGTAGATGTTAAAATAGTTAAACATATAATGTAGAAAAGTGGTATTTTACTTTTTTGGGGTAGGTGTTGTGATTCAGTGTATATGTTACACTTAAAGCACACCTCAGTTTGCCCTAGTCACATTTCAGATGTTCACTAGTGACATACGGTGGGTGGCTAGCATTTTGGAAAGCACAGCCCTAGACTGTAGGTTCAGGTGTGTAATGCTTTGCTTTTTTCCCTAGAGAAGCCATGATTACTGAACCAACCACAGCATGCTGTCCTTTGGTTTTCTTTGCTGAAGCACTTATTAAGCTTACCTAGCAAAATAAAACGTGTTCTTATGAGGGCTCACTTTTCACTATTTCTTCATGGAGTCCTTTCTCAAATTTTTCTGTCATTCAGGCAGAGATTTCCATGCATTTGTCTTCTTTTCTTTGACCTCTTCCATTATCTACAGTGGCTTTTTGTCCTTTGCCCACTGTTAGGATTCTATCCTTAGCCTACTCCCTCTACAAGCTCTTTTGTTAATTTCCTCCACTCTGTCTTTAACTACCATCTACTAACTGAAGAGTATCAATTTCTGAACTCTAGTTTCCAAAGTTTGCCTCAGCTCTTCAAAATGAACCTTTCCCATACTGAGCTAATTACAGTATTGCCTGTTTGAATTAGTGGCTTTTACCATCCACCTTGTCACCTTCAGAGTAGTCTTCAGATCACACTGACATCTGTTTTTTTGGTTGGCTTTTGGGAGCACTTTTCTCCTCTGGGGAAATCCTATTTGTCCTTTAAGCGCAAGTCAGTATGATGTCTTTGAAGACCTATTAACTTTTCCCTCCCCTCCTTTTCCCTTAGTAGAAAGGTATTATTAAATGTTTCTTTGAAAATACAGGAGGAGAAAAAACTACTGGCATGTTATTACTCTTGATAAGATTGGGCAGCATGGGTGTGTATTTGTGTCAAATTATTTTTAAAAATAAGTAAAATTACCACATCTGTTCCCATTCCCAGGATCAATCACTGTAAATAGTATGGTGCACATCCCGGATTTTATTTCTATGCCTGTACAAACCTCTTTATATAGGTAAGAGCATCTTTTCATGTTAGATCTGTCTCATTCTATAGTTGTATGACTATACCACAATGTTAAAATTTCCCTATTCACAGTACACTGAATATACCTTTATTATTAGCATTTATATTGCCATCTTTATAAACCCGTCATTAGCTAAATCGGAGCTTCCTATTCATTGATCAGTAAGTGTGCCCAGCTTATACTGATCTCAAGCCTAGGCATGTTTTAATTAGTCACGTAACATGGCACAATGTTCACGTTCATGGGATACTTTTCTATCCTGTTTCCCATAATTACTACTAAAATCGCATGTCCTAATTTTTTAGTTACAGTTGAAATAAGGTTAGAATTCCAGTTAGCCTTTTAAAAAAAAAGATTGTATTATGTGTATTTTAATAATACTTTCACCAAGTGTTTTAACTTACCTTCTTCCAAGGGATATTTGCTTTTTGAAGGATGGCATATTTGTAAAATGCTATTGGAGAATCAGTCTCCCACCCTCTATGCTTGCCCCATAAATGCACCTGGGCCATGGGATAGAACATGGGACAGGCAAGCACCTGCTAATTGTGACCTCTTGGAGCAGGGAGGGATTAGGTTGAATTTACAGTGACCACTGCCTGCCTTTCACTACCTACCATAGCTTATAAGAAGAATTAGTGCCAATTTAGCAACTCACCTCTGAAGCTCCCAAGTTCAACTCCAGGTCAAGTCAAATGTATGACAGATTTCAGCATGATGATGACTTGTGTTCGTATCTAAGGATTTTAAGCCTAGCAGAGTGCACACATTAAACACACACTTCAAACACAGAAATACAAGACATTTTTCTAAAACAAATGAATAATAAATATATAAGTATGAAAATACACAGATTTTTAGAACACGTCTTTACAAATTATAAAAGGAAAGAGTCCTGATTTACTGGTACAATTTGGCAGAACAGTTCCTGAAGGAGATTAGACAGCTGTTCCTCTTTCCAAGTTTTGTTTAATTTCAGCTGTATATTTCCCATAGAATCCTTCTGCCTTCTTGTTGAATTTAGCATTCCTTTCATTAATGTAGTCAATATCTGCATCATCATTATAAGGACGTCTCCGGCTGTATTTGTCTCATTTTTCAATTCTGTAACGGAAACAAATATACAGAATTCAAAGCGGCATTC